CAGTGAGATATTTTACAGAACGGGCAGACGAGCGGCACGGCAATAATCGGGGGGGCAGCATGAGCAGCACTCACGTTACAAGTCCTAGCGCGATAAGCAGCACGAATATGTGACATGGCAGGTCGTCTAAACGCGAGCGTTTGCAAACAACGCGGGCACTGGTTTGTCAGCGCAGCCTTCAGCGAGTTAGACGTCCTACCATGGGTGCCACATTTGGCGAACGTGTCGCGAATCGTTAAAGCCTTGCGGGTAGAACACGTGGCCACACACACAACCTTCGTCAGATAGTTGAGTACAACGAAATCGAAGTTCGGCATCACCCCACCTCTCCACCTCGTCCGTCGTCGGAGCAGGGCCCAGAACGATAAGAGGGCCCATCTTACCGAGCTTCCAGAGTTCCCGGCAAGCGGAGACGTCCGTATTCAAGAAACAGTGTCGTATATCATCACCCCCAAACAGCTTGAGAATCGACCCCTCCACATGCTCGTTCCAATCCTCCATGTCGGTGAGGGCCTCTAGCCCAAACGCATCGCCTGGAAGCCGTCGGGCCAACGGAGCAGCAGCAGCACTAGGTTTACCATCGACCAGTGCGTCGACTTCCTCGAATTGGCACTCACCAAAGATTAAAGGGCGAAGAACGGTATAACATAAACTTTTTCACCGTCGGGGACACCTGCCCCAGGGGGGCTGGAAAGTTTATACCCTTACGGTGGGCTGGAAAGTTTATACCCTTACGGTGGCGCCGTAGGGGTGTAAACTTTCCAGCCGCCCAGGGGCAGGTGTCCCCGACGGCGAAAAATTGATTTTATATTGTTTTTCGCCCGTTAAAAAGAGGGCGGTTAGAACCCGGGAGCGGTCGTCGGGCCAGCGAGCCAGTCTCCGATGCCAGCGATGCCTCGGAACTGGGAGCTCGCTCGCAGCGAGCAGGAGCCATGGGTCGAGCCGGGCGCGCGTGCGTCGACTGCCCCAGGACCTGGGACGCGGGCCAGAGCACTCACAGGCAGGTCCCTGGGGCCATCGATCGGACCTTACGCAAGAGGGCTCAGTCCAGGTCGGGCTCCCGAGCGGGGGACAGGATGAAAGGCGCCAGCCCCGATAACAAAGCGCCCTGAACAGCAGAAATGAAGACGAGCCCTTTCATGTGCCACGGGGCACCACTGCTCCAGAGCTTCTGAAAATAGCCGCGTGTAGCCGCAGTCTTAGACGCGACCAGCTGCGGGGCGAGGGCGCCGTTAGGCATGACAAAAGGCCCAAGAGATCTGGCGTGCGGCAAGACCTTGGCGCCGCCTACGTTCGCGTTCTAGAAGAGCCGGTTATCATGATACCCATGCAGCCACGGGACAAAACCTGTTTCTTCACGTTCTGCTTGTATCCATGAGATTCCAGCACCTCTGCAGCAATAGGTTGTTCCAAAGAGACTTGTGTAATTGCTTCCGCTAACGAACCAGACTGCAGCAGTCGGAATTTACCCTGGCGACGTTCCCACCCCCTGCGCAATGCGGGGCATGAGCAGCTTTGGAGACGTTATACGGAGGGGATGACGTGACGTGGGCGCATATACTTCTGCGAGCGGCATTCGCGAGGCTCGCAGCCCCCCAGGGTTTGCGAGGCCACGCTCAGATCTGCATGGTGCCTCACTCCACCGGACCCGCCACCAGCCTTCAAAGTAGCGACGGCTTCGCAGATCGCAGCGCCCCAAGGACGGCGAGGTCCACCTCGGATCTGCACAGTGCCTGATTCCGCTGGGCCCGCCACCAGCCTTTAAAAGTGTCGACGGTTTCGCAGATCGCAGCTATTTTGTTCCTCCTCTCGCTTTCTGCCCTGGCTTCTTTATTGTTGTGTTGGTGCGTGGGCGCGCGCGCCTAACGGCGGGGTCGGGTGGCTCACACCCCGCTGCCGCGTCCCGTACTGCGTGCTGCCGCGGTGGGCGCGGAGGTCGTTTTGCAGCGCCGTGCGCTGGCCGGCATGTGTCCGGGGCCATTGCTGGTTTTTCGCCATCGTTGCGTCTCGTCGCGCCGATCCCTGGTCGGCCAAGTGGCGACGGCCTTTGAGCCGAAGGGGTAGCGGCCTCATTGGATCACCCGCCCGAGGCCTTGGGAACTCGCGGGCCAGCGCCGCATCGTGGTCCATCACCCTAGGGGGCTGTGCGTCCCACGCCCCGGCCTGTGCATTCCACCACCCTCGGAGTGGTCCTTCGGCCCCTCAGCCCGCGCGCGCGGCGCCGCGGAGTTGTGCATTCCACCCCCTGTGCGAATGTGAGGAACAAAAAACGATGCTGATGCGGATGCTGCCGCTGATGATTATACTGATGATGGTGATGATCATGATGGTGATGGTGATGATGATGCTGATGATGATGATGAGGAAGATGATGATGATGATGATGATGATGATGATGATGATGATGATGATGATGATGATGATGATGATGATGATGATGATGATGATGATGATGATGATGATTTTTCATTCAGCGCCGTGGGCCCCTATGAGTGTTTTGTCTTTGTGAGAAGGTGCTCCTGCGCAACTTCTGCCGAGGAATCGTGATTCATCACTCTGATATACAATGACTTTGAAGAAGATGCGGCGTGCGGTGACGTCGACCGAGACGACCAGCGAAGAACGCAGGGCGAGGGGGGCGCACCTAAGGCCGACAGTGGCCCACGGCTGGCCCCGCCGACCGACTCGAGAGTTACGGCCGACTGGAGGAAACGATATTAGTGCCTCGTGTGTTTCAACATCGAGCGCAACCTATCTCTATGTATGAGTGTTCCAGCGGGGGCTGCCCCGCTCGATCCCAAGAGAAATGAAAAACAGCCTCAGGAGTCGTGGGTACCCTGGGGGCTTCCGCAACTGCCGCGGGGTGCACCGAACTCCCCTGGGTTCCCAACGGATTGGAGGAAGACGAGGAAGAGGCGAGGACCGAGGTGCCACAGCGAGACGCGGCGCGACGCTGCTCAGGAAGAGTCCAGGGGGCCCCGAGGTCGAGGGAGGGGAGGAGAAAGAGCTATTCTCAGGCGAAACGCTCTGCACAACGGCGGGGTTGCCGACAGGCAGAGCTGCTGCAAGGTTGCCTGCAGCAGCAGGCTCACGTAGCAGCTCAGTTGCAGCAGCAGGCTCAGGAACCCACTCAGGTGCAGCAGTAGGCTCACGTACCAGTTCAGGTACATCAGCAGCAGGCTCACGTACACAAGCAGGCACATCAGCAGGCTCACGAAAATCCATGCCCAAGGAACTTTTGGGGTCGTCAGGAACATCCATGCCCAAGTAACGTTTGGGGTCGTCAGCTGGTACTCTAACTTGTCGGGCTCTCACGACACCAGCTGCGCGACGTACTCCTGAAGCCGCCGAAGTCTACGAACAGCGAGCTGGAGGCCTTGCCCGCTTAGCGCCTCCATACCCCACACCTGAACGCAAGGACCGCGATCACCACGCGACTGGCGCAACGATCGTCTCGTAGCACGCGAAGTTGATCCGCTTTTTGTCTCTGTCGTACGTCTTGTCCAGACGCACATCTATCATCTCCATCTTTTTTCGTACCCTATTGTTAATATTTTTCGCTTTGTTCTAAAAAGAAGATTGACCGTGGCGAGCTGATGAGATGCCTGCGCACAGGCTATCGGAGGGATGAGCTTTTCCAGAATATCGATACTGAGCTTAACAAGACTTCAGATGAAGAGTGGCAGAGTCTCTTCCAGGCTCGTTCCCCTGATCGTGCGTGGCGGAAGTACGTCGAGTGCGTGCAAGCAGGCATGCAAAATACATTCGGGTTACAGCGCATGCAAGGGGACAAGGCGTATTTAGAAATGAAGAAGAGAAGGATGGAGCTCCTGGAGGAGAGACGACAGTGGAGGCAGCGCAGGATTGATGCGACGGATATTCGTCCTCCACGTTGTGGTCTTTGAACCACTCCATCATCTCGTTGAGGTGCTTCCCTTTCTGTGCTCCACCGCCTCGCCGCGCTCGTGTAGGCCCGCGATCAAGCCGGCGAGCGCCCATATGTAGGGAGCACCGTGAGGGTGACCTTTCCCGTCCTTCTTCACCGCCTTCGCGTAGTTGTGTGTCTGTCCCGCCATCTGCAGGGCCTCGACCCCGTCCGACGGGCAGAGAAAAGTGTCGAAGAGGCATCCTCCGAGTTCGCGCATGCCCTGGGCCACCCTCAAGAGCTGCTTGACCATCACCAGTAGGAACCGACGAAGCCCTTGATCGCTGACGCCTTTGAGCTTCTTGTCCTTGCCTCCATCCTGGCGTGGCTTGACGCGGCGTGGGTCTGGAGCAGCATCCTTCTTGTCGTCGACGGCCGCCAGCAGCGCGGGCATGGCGAAAAGGGTGACGCTCCACAAGGCACGGAGCGGGGCGCGGCAAGTGTTCTTCACGAGCGTGTGTGTAGTATTCAGGTAAGCTATCAAACTCGAGCCCACATATTTGTTCGTAATCTCCGAAGGAGCCCGCAATTCCCATGCTTGATGGTTCCCACGAGGCCGACATCTCCCAAGACTCCACGAAGCTTGCACGTGTTGTTTTGCGCTATCTTTTGAAGGAAACAGACTGCCACAGTTAAAGCACTGGTTCGCAAGCACGCAGCATCTAAGCGGGCACAGAACGCCGTGAGACCCACCGCGGGCCTTCGTCATGTGCGCACCCAGCTTCTCCAAGGAGTCAAAGCACAGGCCGCAAACGTCGCCCTGCGCGTCCAGCAAGTCGCACACGAACTCCCCCTTAGGCTCCTCCGCCTCCTTGGCTGTGGGTGCAAGTATGATGATGATGGTGATGATGATGCTGCTGCTGATGATGACGCTGATGATGATGCTGATGACGATGATGATGATGATGGTGATGATGATGATGACGGCGATGATGATGATGATGATGATGCTGCTGCTGATGATGATGATGATGATGATGATGATGCTGTCGTTGACGCTGGCGATGTCGATGTCGACGTCGATGTCGACGACGACGGCGACGACGATGACGATGACGGTGACGTTGATCATCATCATGTTGATAACGATGGTGGTGGTTGTGTTGGTGGCTGTGGTTGTGGTGATGATGATGGTGGTGGTGATAATGGTGATAAAGCTCGTTTGAGCCGCCTTGGGGCTGTCTTTGGCCTCCTGTGAGCCAGTCTTGGGTGTCTCTTGGGGCCCTCTTGAGCCGTCTTGGGGCCCTCTTACGCTGGCTTGGCGGTCTCTTGGGCCGTCTTTGGGCCGTCGTGGAGTCCTCTTGGGCCGCCTTGAGGTGATGGCACCCCGAAAAGCGGAGAATGTGACAATCATTCGAAAACCTAGAAGATATAATTGATTTGGGCTTGTTCGGACCCTGTTGGAGGTCCTGTTGTGGCAAATGTTTGGCCCTTTTTGACGCATCGTGGGCTGTCTTTAACCATGTTCGGCCGCCTTGGGGCCATCTTGGGCCGTCTTCGAGGCATCTTGTGCCATCTGGATGTCGTTGGTTGCCTGCACGGGCCATCGTGGAAGCTCGGGACGTGCATCCATCCAGTGTTTAAGCGAGGGATCGTGGTTTGGGCGGCACTGGAGCGCTTGGGAGCAGCGCCTGGGATTCCCGGAAGTGCACGACCCTCGAGTGGGTGCGCGTGGGATGACTGTCCAGGAGTTAGCAGCCATGCGGGAATTGCACAAATCTCGAGCGGGCGCACATGGAATGAGGGTTCAGGCGCTAGCTGCCATGCGGGAACTGCACCATCCTCCAGCGGGCACGCGTGGAAGGGGGGGTCAGGCATCAGCTGCCATGCGGGAAGTGCACACGTCCTCGAGCGGGCACGCGTGGAATGGAGGGTTTGGCATTAGCTGCCATGCCGGAAGTGCGCCATTCCTCGAGTGGGCACGGGTTCAGTTTCTTCGGAAAGGAGGGGCGATACACGTAAGAGTTTGCCAGTAGAAGGAGGGGCGGCCCCTTATTTAGAATTCAAAAGCCCTACAGACAAACATTGGTGGCGGCTTTGGGGCAAATATGGCTCCATGGCCCCTTGCATCGGGCTTAATACTTTTCAATCTGGCTTGCGAAGACTTCCCAGGGGTTGCCGCCTGAGTTCCCTGCATTCCTGCATCCCCGCCGTCTCCCAGAGCTCAGGTGACAGACTTGTACTTCGTGCTCGCCGAGGCCGAGGCGGCCGCGGCGGCGGCGCGCGTGGCGCCAGCGGGTGACGGCGGCGACGACCACGACGGCGACCCTGAGCGACCACGACGACCGCGACAGCGACGACCAGGACTTTGAGGGTGTTCGGGGCGGCGGCGTCGGGAGGCCTCGAGGAGGCCGTGAGAGTGCCTAGCAGTGCCCCGAGGCTGCTGTCCTCGATGCCTGGAGCTGGCTGTTCGAGGAAGGAGGACGGAGGAGGATACGGAGAGATGGAGGAGGAGCACGAGGATGGAGGAGCACGAGCACCTAAGGAACGATAAATAAGGAACGGAGCCCCTTGTCTATCCCAAGGAATAACGCAGACGGAACGATAAATAACAAATAACGCATAAGGAACTGTAAATAACGCATGTAAAACCTAAGGAACGACCGAGCCCCTTTTGAAAAGTAAGTGTTCCTTATTCAAGCCGCTCACTGTAGGAGGAAGTTGGTGGTGGGGACGGCGGCATGGACATGGCAGCCGTGCCCACAAGGGAAGCAGAGAAGGAGGGCCAAGGCCCCCGCCAGAGGCCCGCGTTGAGGGCGAACGGGGACCCCTCATGCCAAACGATGCTGAGTAATGGGTCGCCCCAGGGGGAAAGGCGCTAGAGGAGGGAGGAGGGAACAGAAGCAGGAGGAGGAGGAGGAGGAGGAGGATTACGTAGGAGGCAGGATCGGTTAGGATGGAGGCAGGAGGGGAGAGGAGAGAAATGGAGGAGGGGGAGGAGGACGAGGAGGGAGGGAGGTGGGAGGAGGAGACAGGGATCAGGAGGAGGGAGGGAGGGAGGAGGTAGAATTATGAGAGGTGGCGGAGGCGGGCCGTCCCCTTCTGTGGACCCCCCCCCCCCGTGCCGTGTACTACTGCAACCTGGCCTAGGCGAATTCACCGACCGCCCCCTGTCCTTTTTGGGACAGCGCCGATGGGACCGATACGTATGAGGCCCAGATCTGCCAAAGCTATCGGACCACGTGTCCCCGAATCGGTTTGGAAAGCCATTCCTCTTCGGCAGTCTTTTTGGCCACTTAAGTTCATCTTGGCCCGTCTTGGCGGACATCTTGGGCAAGCTTTGGGCAGGATCTTTGGGCTTTGGGCCGTCTCGGGCCAGGCTTCGAGGCCAACTTCGGCATCTGGTGGTTCCTGGCACGCTCTGAAGCGTCTGGAAGCCGTTTTGGGGGGCCCTATGGGCCGGACTTGGGGCCCGCTTGGAATGCTCCAGGGCGTCTTGGAGGCTTTCTTTTTCATTTCTTTCTTTTTGTTTTTTTTTTTTTCTATTTTTCTTTATTTTTTTTTATTTGTATTTTCTTTTGGGCGTCTGGGAGGCCATCTTGGGCGTGTTGGAGGCCTCTTGGGCCCTCTTGGGGCCCTATAGGGGCCATCTTGGAGGCCACTTGGGCCATCATGGGGCTCTCTTGGGGGCCTCTTGGGCGATCTTGGGGGCTTCTTGGGCCGTCTTGAGCCGTCGGAGAGCCGAAAAGGCGCAAATGCCAAAATCCTTCAAAAACCAAGGAAAATCAATGATTTTGGCCTCTTCGGACTCTCCTGGAGGACCTCTTGGAGGCCTCTTGGGCCGTCTGGGAGGCCTCTGGGGGGCCTCTTGGGCCGTCTTGGGCCGTCTTGGACTCTCTTGGGCCGTTTTGGAGGCCGTCTTGGACCATCTCGGGCGGACTTGGAGGCCATCTTGGGCCATCTTCGCGATTTTTTGAGGATGTCCCGAGCGAAACGGCCGTTTTGGGGCATTGCCAGACGCATTTTGGGAAATGCGCGGGTGGCCGGCGGGACGGGCCGAAGCCCACTGGGGAGTTCTTTTAGAAAAAGAACCAACACCAAAACCTGAATCATCCAGCACGCCGTGCACCCCTGCAAGCAGGGGGCGGCGGACATAATGGCATTCGGCCCGTCCCGCCACCGTGCCTGGGCTGTGGGTATGAAGCTTAACTTGCAGTGGAACCCATGCCAAGAAACACCCTGGAGGCATCTTCGGGACTTCTTGGCGGCTTGCCCGCGGTCTCGGGGGCTGACTTGGGGAGGAGGGGGCCCTCTTGAGGCCCTTGGGCCATCTTGGGCGCCTCGTACCAGCCAAACACATGGCATACCAGACCAAGCATCTCACGTAATCGGAGCACCGTAGAAACACATGTCAAGAAACACCCTGCATGCCTCCAGGGCCTTGGGTGTCTTGGTGTTCGATGGTTTTGCGATGAGAACGTGACGTTCCCACACTAGGAATCGATGGACGTCCTGGGATATCAGGGTCGGGTTTCTTGTGGAAGGTCTCTTGTGGTCGAGCTTCTACTGTATCGAAGACGCCTACGGCGAATCACCGCCGCCCCCTGCCTTTTTGGAAGCGCCTATGTGGCCGAACGTTGAGGCCAGACCTGCCAAGCTATCGGACCACGTGTTCCCCGAATCGGTTTGGAAAGCCTTCGGGGAACACGTGGGCATCTTGAAGGTCATCTAGGCCGTCTTGGAGGCCTCTTGGGCAAGCTTTGGGCGATCTTTGGGGCTTTTTGGGCCGTCTCGGGCCAGCTTCGAGCCAACTTCGGCCATCTTGGTGGGTTCCTGGCACGTCTGAAGCCGTCGGAAGCCGTTTGGGGGGCCTCTATGGGCCGACTTGGGGCCCGCTTGGAATGCTCCAGGGCCGTCTTGGAGGCCATCTTGGGCGTCTGGGAGGCCATCTTGGGCGTGTTGGAGGCCTCTTGGGCCCTCTTGGGGCCCTCTAGGGGCCATCTTGGAGGCCACTTGGGCCATCATGGGGCTCTCTTGGGGGCCTCTTGGGCGATCTTGGGGGCTTCTTGGGCCGTCTTGAGCCGTCGGAGAGCCGAAAAGGCGCAAATGCCAAAATCCTTCAAAAACCAAGGGAACATCAATGATTTTGGCCTCTTCGGACTCTCCTGGAGGACCTCTTGGAGGCCTCTTGGGCCGTCTGGGAGGCCTCTGGGGGGCCTCTTGGGCCGTCTTGGGCCGTCTTGGACTCTCTTGGGCCGTTTTGGAGGCCGTCTTGGACCGTCTTGGAGGCATCATAAGGCCATCTTAGCCGTCTTAGAGACCATCCTGGCCGTCTTAGAGGCATCTTGGAGGCCATCTTGGAACCGTCTGGGGCAGGAAATTGGGGAATTGAGCTCCTGGGCATCCTTTCCGGGTGGCCGGCGGGACGGGCCGAAGCCCATTGGGGAGTTCTTTTAGAAAAAGAACCAAAACCAAAACCTGACAGCTCATCCAGCACGCCGTGCACCCCTGCAAGCAGGGGGCGGCGGATCGAATGGCCTTCGGCCCATCCCGCCACCGTGCCTGGGTTGTGGGTATGAAGCATGTTGGAAGTCCGTTAAATTATCACAAAGGCCCTTGGGGGCCTCTCGGAGGCAGTTTTGATGCCTCATCGGGGGGCCGCTTTTCGGGCCTCTTTGGGGCCTCGTTTTGGCACCTCTTGGGGCCTTTTGGGGCCTCTTGGGGGCCTCCTGTAGGCCTCTTGGGGCCTCTTGGGCGCTTCTCGGGGCCTCCTGGGGGCCTCTTTGGGCGGAAGGCTTAGATTTTCGGTTACGTTTCCCTCTCTTGGGCCCCTTTGGGGGCAGTCTTGGGACGCTCTCAGGCCGTCTTGGGGCCCTCTTGGAGACCGCTTTGGCAGTTTCGGGGTGGTCTTGGGGGGCCTCTCGGGCCGTCATGGGGCGTCGGAAAGCCGAGCATGCGAGAACGCCAAAAACCTTCAGAAACATTCGGAGCATCAATGCTTTTTGCTTCTTGGGGCCCTCTTCGGATGCCTCTCGGAGGCATCTTGTGGCGTCTTGGAGGCCTCTTGAGCCATCTCGAGGCCGTCTTTGGCGTCTTCGGGCGACCTTGGGGCGACTTGGGGCCCTCTTTGACTATTTCGGGGGCCTCTTGGGGGCCCTCCTGGGCGGGGTGGGCCGCCGCGAGCGATGCCGGCGGACCCGGAGAAGCCCTTGGAAACGACTTGTCCAGCCCTGAAGAACTTACACTTCTGGGTGCAGCAGCAGCAGCACAGCCCTGTCAGTGCTGCATCAGCCTTGGGGCACTCAGCTTCGTGTCAGAGGCACGGTGGCAAATCTAAGTGCCATGTATCCCTGCGCCGCCATCCAGGGGCGGCTTCCGGCATCGGCCCTGATTGCGGGACAAGGTTGTCGCAGGTTTCGATCTTCGAGCGGGGGGGAGGAGGAGGGGGAGGAGGAGGAGGAGGAGGAGGTGGAGGAGGAGGAGGAGGTGGAGGAGAAGGAGGAGGTCATGTATCCCTGCGCCGCCATCCAGGGGCGGCTTCCGGCATCGGCCCTGATTGCGGGACAAGGTTGTCGCAGGTTTCGATCTTCGAGCGGGGGGGAGGAGGAGGGGGAGGAGGAGGAGGAGGAGGTGGAGGAGGAGGAGGTGGAGGAGAAGGAGGAGGAGGAGGAGGTGGAGGAGGAGAGGGAGATGGAGGTCCGTAGCCATTTTGGCTCAAGGCTAAACGTTGTGAAGGGCTATAGACGCCTGAGAATCAGCGATTAGCTTTGGACCCCTCCGTAGCCTGCCTGGCCCAGGAGGCTTGGGGCTTCCCGCCCACGGCACCTCTCTGATCGCCCCCTCTTGTGATTTATCGTTGCGGGCGCACGCTATCTGATAGCTGCGAGCGATGAATACAGGACATGGGAGCCAGACGGAGATCCTCGCGGCCCTCGACGAGGCGCCGACCTTCCCGTCCCAGGAGATGCGCCCCCCTCGTGTGCCGACTGCAAAAGCTGCTGCTGCTGATCGTAGCCGTAGCCGTGGCGCTGCCCCTGACCCAGGAGCTGCCATCGCGGTTGACGACGACTTCCAGGACGCAGAGGACGATCTTCGGTCATACGCTGACGAGACTAAGGCCTCCCTCATGGCAGCCATCGGAAAAGTTCAAGCCTCCGTCTCCTCGTTGGCCACCGCCGTCACGTCCTCATGCAACGACTTACCGAAGAGGATGGAAGTTCGTTTGGCATCGGTCGAGTCCGTCCAGAGAGCTACTACGACAAGA